AGGTAGGTTTTCAAGCTAGGAATATACTTTCTTTAATAGGTGCTATTCAAATTTTATATTTCCTCCAGAGTTTCATTAATTTGTCTTCCAAGGTCTCCTAGATCTTGATATTATAATTTTAAAAATGTATAATTGATATTGTTTAATAGGAAGAAAAGGTCTAAAGGAGCAGGGAAGTCGGAGGGGTACGGTAAAGGAAAGAAGGGAAAAGAAAAAATATGAGAAAAGGAAAAAAATGGAAACAAAGTCTTTGCAAATAGGGAAGGGTGGAGGGGGTGAAGGGAGAGCAGGGGAAGGGGAAAAAATAAGGACCAAGATACATCATGTAAAGGTACAAGATCCCAATGATGAATGTAACTGTATAGTATACCTAAAATGTACCAATAAACTTAATCGGGAAAAAAAAAAGAAATCTGACCAAAATGCTATCATCTTGACCAAATGTCAGACGATAGTTCCATTTTTTTGACATCCTTACAATTCTCTGCCAAGCCCAGCAACTACCCAATTCCACTGGAAAATCAGTTATTTTCAAAAATGAACAGACTTCTAGTCTTTTCCCACATGTTGTTGGGATTCATAACTTATAATGCATCTTGAACACTTTTTACCCTGGCAATATTTTTTATCAGCTTGTTTCTATTGATTTATTTAAAAGACCACTCTGATGTTTTAAAGAGTTTCATTAAAAAAAAAAATGGTACCACTTAATGTATAACTAATTTCCCAATGTCCTCATTAGCAAAATGTCAACTTGTTTTCTGGCCCTTATTCATTCAGCAATATTGCATGAGTTATAAAAGGAGTAGCTGTTTTCTTACTTTGGAAGTTTTTCCAGCACAGTCTTCAGTTCTTCACATATGAGCTTGACGAGTCCATTCTTTATGTTACTATATGAAACATCAATCATGAAGATAAAGGCTGGTGGGTTGGGAGGCTTATTTTTCTGTAGAAAAGTAAACACACCAGATAAATAGATTTAATTATAAAGTCAATACATTTCATAATCAAATTAAAATATACTAGCCACTCTTGAAGTTATCAGATGTTTCATTTAATATTTAGGATATAACATCTGTCGAATCAAATGGAACATAGTCTTTGATGCTATACAAAAGATAAAGGAAGCCATTTATTTTCCAGGATATGACTTGAATCAGACAGTATTAAAATATCTAGTAGAGAAGGCTCACTTTTGCAAAGTTTCAAAGACTTTATTACTACAAATTGCTGAAGTTCAGGACTGTAGCCAGCCTTGCTAATAATGCTATTTTATAAGACAAAATGTGCTTGAAACCCTGAAAAATTGGACTAACATGGAGTACCTGTAACAATTAGCATTTCTTTTTAAAACTGCTATCAAATCTCACTAATCTGGATCTCACTATATTCAAATCTCATCTTTTATCATCTTCAATTTTAGATATGAAATGGCACGCTAAATAACTGCATACTTTAAAATCTTGTATCATATTCTTAAATACTGACTTAATTTATTTCATATTTATGGTAAGACTGGCCTTTTCCGCGTGTGTTTAAGACAACAACTATAACATAAAGCAGCTGCTATGCAAATGGTTTCTACCAACTCACATCTCTTTTCTGGCTAGTGTTCAAACAGCTCTTAGGAAGTGGTCCTTCATTTGGGACTTTTAAAATATTTAGAAAAGAGAACCGCAAGCAAACAGCTTTAGTGATCTACCTACACTAGAGAATAGTTAAGGCCAAATGAACTTTTAACTTTATGACAAATCATAAAAATGCTCTAAAATAAAATTACATGTTAATTATTACAAAATTAGATGATGTCTGTAAATTCTCTTACTGATTCATTCTACATGAGGCAAGATATAACAATGTTCTAATGAAAGTCCTTTTTCTTTTTTTGAGACAGGGTCTCACTATGTAGTCCAGGATGGCTTTGAACTTACTTTGGAGCCTAGACTGGCCCCAAACTTGCAGTGATTCTCTTGCCTCAGCTTCCCGAGTCCTGGGATTATAGGCGTGCACCACCATTCCTGGCCCAAAAGTCCTTCATTTTACATTTTAAAATGTTATAACACTTAAGAATCATCAATTTGAAAACTTCATCACTTTGCCACACCCAAAATCAGACTGACATAGAACTGGAGGAACTCTACTGGTTCTATGTAATTTTATTGCACATAATTCCTGATTCCCATTAAATCTATTTCATAGCATAATTATGCCAATTTATATTAGAGAAAAATAACCACTTTCATTAACTAAATCAAAACCTCTTTGTGACAAACCCAAATCTGTCTTACCATTCTTTCACTCTCTCCTAAGTTCAGCATAATGAACTTCCCACTGAATATTTTCCTTATCTACAGCCTGCACATGTCTACAGGAACAGTTCACTGTAACTTGGTTTCTACATATGCAAAATTAATTTATCATTCCTCTAAACCACATTCTCTTCCAATTTCTCTACCAATATCAATACCAATGACATTACTACATCACAACTCAAACGTGAAATTAGGTATGACTGGTCCTTTTCCTTTAATCACTAATTCCCATCCCACTGATTTTTCTTTGAAAATGATTTTTCACAATGTTTTACATCTCATTCCTGCTCTTCAACATTTGGAAGTTCATCATCTTGTGCCAATATAACTAAAGCCCACAATTAGCTTCCCTACACTAGTATTCTATCCATTCAATCCAACTTGTTTTGCCAGCCAAGGTTAACATGTAAGCCCTCCCTCTCTTCTCTCAACACGTGCTCCATGGTGGAAAGCACATTCCATTTTAACCAGCACTCTGGCAGTTGACTCGTCAACTCTCTCATCATGGCTTCTTTCTGAGCTACAAACCAGCATTCCAGTTAACTATATAGCACAGCTCCACAGAAAGATCTTACCAGTACCTCAGATTCAAATTTTTAGAAGTTATGATCCATTATACCAGCGAGGAACTTACAGAAAACATGATCTCAATAATCTGGGCTTGAAATTTCGCTTCTTCCATGGAATTCTACATCTCACTTATCATCCACATCCAACTAATTATGAAGGCTTTGTGGACTGTCCTCTGCCAGTATCCAAATCTAGACTCTCATTTTCTCTCTTTTTTATTATTTTTAGTTGTATTTGTTTAAACTGTGGGAAAATAAGCACATAAAATTAACACATAATCATTTTTAAGTGTATAGTCTGGTGATGTTGTGTACATTCACAGGGTTATGCAACCATCACCATCTCCAACAACTTTCTATCCCAACCTTTCTCTAGCCCTTCTCATCTACCATTTGACTTTTTGTCTGTGTGAATTTGACCACTCCAAATACTTCATATAACTAAGAATCATATAATATTTATATATTTTCTCTGGCCAGCTGAATTCGCTTAGGATAGTATCTTCAACATTCATCTACTTTGTATCATATGTCACTTTTTCCTTTTTAAGACTGAGTAATAAGGGCTGGGGATTTAGCTCAGTGGTTTCATCGCCTGTTGTACAAGCACAAGGACCCAAGTTCAATCCCCAGTACCAAAAAAAAAAAAAAAGACTGAGTAATATTCCCCTCAATGCATATGCCTCATTTTATTTATTCATTTGTCCATTCATAGACGCTTGTTTGCTTCCACCTTTGGGCTTATGTGAATAATGGTGCTGTGATGAGCATGGATATGTAAATATCTTTTTGAGACTCTGGTTTCAATTACTTTAGGTATATAACCCAAAGTGGAATTTCTGAATCACATGGTAGTTGTGTTTGTAGTTTCTTGGCTTAGTGTCACACTATTCTCATTTTCTCCCACTTGAACCACTACGTTAACTTTGAAAATGCCCTTATCTCCAATCTCTCTCTTCTCATTATAGTCTGCTGTTGGGATAAAAAGTGTATCACAATGCTACCTGCCCTGAAACAGGAACTCTTCTGAGTTACCAGACCCTAGCACAGAGCACGACACCAAAGAGAGTACTTCCTAACCACTGAGTGAATGCTTATGCGGATGCATGGATGGACAGATAGATGGATGAATCAATGGGAATTAATAGCACCCTCCTAACTTTTAATTGTCCTCAAGGCCTAATGAATTAGCTTAAGTTTTTCTATATCCTGTCATTCAAGATGGCTTGAAAACACTCATTTAACAACATATATATGAAAACCTAAGAGATCAAAGATACGATGCTAGACCCAGTGGAAAATAAGATAGGCTATGTCTCAAAACAATTTCCTGGATTTACTGCTCACTATTTCTCAATACACATTCTCCCAATTTAAGTGCTTGCCATTTTCAAAACATCTCTTGTGCAGAAGCCACAGCCCAGTGTGCTTGAACCAGGAATTTGGCTGGAAAAAATATTTTGTTTGGCATGATGTTTCTTAAAAACACTTGTATTGGGGCCGGGGATTTAGCTCAGTGGTTTCACCGCCTGCTGTGCAAGCGCAAGGACCAGAGTTCGATCCCCGGTACATTTTGGGATAAAGGGGAATATACTCTCTAAACTCCTGGTGCCCACACTGAATCCATGCTACTCATTTACAAAGCCTGCCCAGCTCTGAAGAGCTAGAGTATATGGTCAAGGCCTTTGTCAAACTGCTTCTGCTCATTGTTCAGCCTCTGCTTCCATTTCCATGTGCTAGTTCTTTGTTCATGGCTTAACCAGCTCAGTGTCACTTTCTCCTCAAAGCTTTCCCCATCCTGTTCTTTTACAGTACTCTGGTTATTCTATTCTACCTTTACAATTTGTACCATATTTGAGCTTATATCATTATTATAGGTTTCTTATTAGGACTATATATGATAAGTATCTTTGGAGCATATTTATCATCTTGCTAAATCTGCTATCCTTCACAGCACACAGACAAGTACCTTAGACATAGTAGGTATTCACTAAATGTCGAAGTGAATTAAAATTACAATTCAATCAGAAAACAAAAGTATAGCACTCAATGAGCTTTTATATTTCAGCTATGCATTATATGCAGACGTTCCAAAATCTTAAAATCGATAAACTCTTAGTAATGTGATGAGGTGAGGTCACCTTCTTCCAGGGGAACTCTTCAGTGATTTTGTAAAAAGCCTGCCTACATACCCATAGTGTGTTGATAGAAAACAGGGGTCTGTGACCACACAGATATGGTTTCAGTCTGGCTCCATCACTTTCTACATGTATGGCCTGAGGCTGGTTCCCAAGCTCTCTAAGATACTTTTCCTCATTTAATGGCAGTACTCACTGCATTAGGTTCACTGTAAGAACTAAATGATACAACACTAGAAAGCTTGCAGCATAGACTCTCACACAGTAAGAGTTCAATGGAGGTTAACTTGAATATCTAAAAGTGACATGAGGCCAGCTAAAATAAACTGAGGAAAAATGGGACTTTATAATTCTCCTTTGGGTGTGTAAGGTGTTAAAAATATTAAATAAACTCTTTCTCATCATCCAAATCCTGAGTCAACTCATTATTCTACTTCATTTACATTTTATGTTATAGTTAAATTCAAAAATGTTTAAAGTAAATTTATTATGAAGTATATTTGGAAAAATAAAAGGAAGATTAAGATTACAAAAAAATCCTTTTCAAAATGTACAATTTTTATTTAGTTCCTTGCTTTCTGGGTGAGATTTACCATCAATTAGATTTCTGGAATATTCCCAGATACAGAGTTTGAAAATTCTAAAACTTTTGTTCCCAGAAATAGATTTGACTTTCTGCCTAAGTTTCTACTAAAAAAAGCATAAAATCAAGATAATGTAGCCCTTTCGGCAGAGAACTGGAAACTTAGAACTTGATTAGATTTATACTATGGTTGCAAAGACGAGTGAATAAATTTTCCACCACTAGTTACAATGGCTTTACTGTATTTAATTAGACCATCAAATGTTTATGTTTTGCCTACTGATACTCCTTCAGTCAACAGCAGGAAGGAACTAAGAAACTCTGTAAATGTAACTATACTTCAGGACATGCTTTTTGTTTGAAATAAAGCATGTGTACCAAAAATGATTTTATATATCCACAAATATGTTCAAACATTTTAAACGAATAAACAATTTTAATAACTAGTTATATGTAATGTATTACAGAAAAATCCTATAAAACACTAATATAAATGTTAATTAAAAAAATTTAAGTCACCTGAAGAAACTTTTACTTGAACAAATATTATCTGTTCTCAATATAATCTCCCAGGAAATACCTATGGTTCTCAATGTAATCTCCCAGAAAATATCCATGGAAGAAATCTGTGGGCCAGAGGCTGTTTTCTGGGAATGAAGTATTAGCAGGCACTCATTTTTGGAAGAGAATATAAGGAAATACATCAGAATGACCCCATTACTTCAAATATACACATGATGCTACAGATATGAGCTGATGTCTGAACTGAGACCCAAGGAAATGTGATTTTCAAATCACTGAACAGCTGTAAAGCTCCAAAATGTACCCATAATGATGTTATTATCGTTGGGCCAGTGAAGAAAGGAAAAGGCCAGTCCTAGGAAGAGTGACACACCTGCAAATTTACCCACTCATTCACTTATTCCACATATATCAGTCAACTGCCTATCTATGCCAGACACTGAAAAATGTCACAAAGATGACTAGGACAAGATTGGGGCAACCAAGGATATCAGAATCTATAAAGAGGAAAAATATACAAGAAAATTTATATTCCATGGACAGAACTGCTGAAACAGAGATACAGCCCTAATTATATTAAGAAACAGAAATTGTAGTAAATAACTATCATGATAAAAACAGAAACTTGGAGGTGCACAGATAAAATTTTACCCAGGCATTAGAGAAAAAGTAGGAGTTTATCAGATGGAGTATATACAGATGTGACAGGAGAATAGAAACATGCCCTGATCTAAAGAACATCTTAGATAAAGGATGGAATCATCAAAAGGGCTGATGAGTTTACAGTGGGAGTCCAAGGCCTTATACATGCTAGCAAGCTACAGCACTGAGCTACAGCCTCAACTCCTTTTTGAAAAAAATTGTTTTCAATTTTATTTTGAGATAGGCTCTTCCTCAGTCACTGGCTCCAGGCTGGCCTTAAACTTGTGATCCTCCTGCCTCAGTCCCCCAGAGTGCTGGGATTATAGGACAGTGACACTGTACCCAGCTGAAAGTTAAATCTTTTAACTTTTAGAAAGAAAAGAAGAGAAAAGAAAAGAAAAAAGACCAAAAGTGGTTGGCAGGAGAGTAGGGAGAATCTTATGGTTATATTTTAAGGCAAGAAATCCAGAGGCCAAGAACCCAGGCCACTGTGGTAACAACTGGAGTGGAGAAGGGAGGTGTGGGAACAAGTCAGTAGTCCTACTGGCCATATTGGTTAAGCTTCCACCTTGGGAGGGAAGTTTTTCTGAGATTATTGACAAAACACGTGAGGCAGAGGCCCTCTATGGATTTGGTGCATTAAGGAGCAAGTATCTATCTGGAGAAGACAAAACAATTACTGTTTCTTATTTCTGGCACCACATTTCTGTTTTTAAGAATGATTACTCCAGTGAATGGTTTGGCAATTGAATCATGCTAGCGACATAGAAGGCTGAATCTGTCTCTCAGGCATTTCTACATCCTTCTGGCACCACTGAGATGCTTTGTTTATGGATCAAGAGTTAGCCCTTTACATATGAAAGTTACTCACTTGAATTTGACATCAGTGTATAAACACTTGAAATCCTGGGAACACTTACTCTGCAGTAATCCAAAGTAGCAACGAATTCATATGATCCTAGAGATAACTCAGGCTTCTCATAGTGGTCCAGTCTTCTTCCAATGTGGTCCAGATGTTGGAAGTAGAATGGTGGAACTAATGAAAACAAAACAGGAAAGGAGATCCTTTGTTTTCACAAACATAGACAATCTAATAAATTCTAAAAATTTATTATGGGAGGAAGGGAGTAAGTATTAAAAAAATGTATTTTGAAGCTGCACTATTTTAAAAGCATGTCTTGAAAATTATGAGGGTTTTCTTAACAGTCCTCTTGACCTCTCTACAAGTTATTGATGACAAAGAACAGCTATGATTTGGACCATCCTACAGAAACAGGATCAAAATACTGCTGTTTTTCACAACTGAAATATTTAACTGTCTCTATTTAACCATCTTTTAAAAAAAGAATTCTGAGTTTTCCATATGAATTTTCAATATATCTAATAAAGATAAACACTGATTATTTGGACTATACTATTAACTACAATATTTATTACAATTTAATGAAGAAATGTCTTCAGCCATGGGAAGTTTGCATGGTAATCTTTGAACATTTGGGCTGAAGAGTGTGGAGGATTACTGTATTAGGGAAAAAGGAGAGCACTAAGATCTCAGCTGAAGAACTCTAATTTGATTCAAATGTCTCAGAAGGTTAGTTCTGGCAAAGACCTGGAAGTCACCCAACAGCACAGCAACACTTATGAGTCACATACTGAGCACTTGGACAAATATGGCCTGGTATCTCTGCGAAAAAGAGCTCCTGTTGCCTAGAGATTAATCGGGCGGGCTGTGAAACCTCTGCCAACTGAAGTATTTTAAAAAACTGGCTATGCTCTTTGTTTAAGCATTTTGTAAAGAACAATATTTCCATTTGTAAAAATCATAAAAGCAATTGTAATGTCTTTTAAACCATCAACTCAGTATTATTTTTTATTGTGAAACTAACATGAGAATTACAACAGAACTGCTTTTCAAGGCTGGACTTTGTAAAACATCAGAGGTTAGTTTTTGTACATTTTTACTGTATTTCGGCCATTTCTTTTAAAATAAGCTTTGTAAGATTCATGTTTCCATATAGATCTCTGAATTTGGGACGTTCAAAGTCTTGAAAAGACTACAGAAGTGGAAACGGACAGTCTGCACTGAGATGCATAAGCCAGGAGGCCCATAAACTGCTGTTTTGTCCTTTCAGAGGAGATGGAGGAGCCTGGGTTGGCTGTCTTAGGTTGTATGGTACAAACGAGTTCTACATAGCACAACTAATAATTCATTCAGATTTACACCTCTGCATCTAATATGCAAACTTTGGCTTTTAAAATTTTATATTCATTAACATTTAACTTTTTATCAACACTTAACATTATCTGTCATCTTTTATAAGCCAAAATTCAAGTCAAGCCATGAACTAGGCACTGTCATATGACCCGAATTCCTACCTGTTTCCTAATGTCAGGGTTCCCACTGGGAAATCTCCAGACACTGCAGGTGCTTTCTCTACCAGGAAGTGGCTGAATCTTTCAAGGCCCAGAGCTGACACCTTGTAGGAGGCAGGATATGTTTGTGTGTGTGTGCGTGCGTGCGTGCGTGTGTGTGTGTGTGACTTTGTGTGGAATGTAAGAACTCTTTTGGCAAGTTTGCAGTGGTTTCAACATGTCAATTCATACCAGAATAAAAGTGAATTATAATGAATGCAGGAAAGTGGTTCATAATAATGCTCCTGTCTCCTTAAGTTCAACATTCATATAAGAGGGAAAAAATCTATAACATGTTAAAGCTTCTCCTAAATATCAATGAGTATATATTCAAAAATAACTGAGGAATGGCAAAGGAGAAAAAGTCTCTTAGGTTTATCATCTATAAACACCAGAGGTAAAATCTTACTTTGCTTCCAGCTGGGGCTTTGTGGAAGGGGATTGAAAAATAAATCCTTCCCCTTGCCTTGCACTTTTGAGTTTTTTTTAAAGTGAAGAAACAGCATAATTTCCATGTGGGGCTCATGCAGCTACATAAAGCCAAGAGGGACTTGGATTTTCCAACAGGGCATGTTCTACTTGGTTTCCTTCTGGAGAAATTATTTTTAAAAGTTCCTGCTACCTAGGAAAAAAAATCTGTTTTCTCCTAAGCCAAGAAGCATAATATATTTTATTTTTAAGTAAACAGCCTTCACACAGAGCATTTAGTGGTGCACTTACCGTCATTCACACAGTTGCAAAACCCACACTGATACCGCCTTCCTCCCTCGATGAACTGCATGAATGGGCACATGTAGGCCTTGCACCTGTTACACCTGACTGGTCCATTCTCTCCATGATTTACCAAGTAAAGGGGAGTCTGGAAGAAGAAGTGAAATTAGACAAATAGTGAGTATAGAATTTCTAAGATATATAATTAAAATTTGAAGTCTTCTAATGACACTCATTAAGGAAATTTTAACACATGGCATTTGCCAGGACAGTCCCTGCCCCTCTTGATAACATGAATTGAAGGTAATACAATGCTGTCCACAATAGCCAAACAAAAGTAAATTTAAATGTATATGTCACTTATAATCATACAAATATGTACTCATATATTTGTCTATGTATATATGTATAGTTACCTATATGAATGTGAAAAAAGAAGAAAATATAATAATACCTAATTATGCTTATGTTAAAATGTGCTGGATATCTTATTTCATGCATTTTGCTAAGTCTGCTTATGGACTGCAAATAAAGAAGTGAATTGGTCTGCTTTTAAAAGCTCTAGAATTGCACAGTAGTATGCTGTTTATGTAGTTTTCTCAAAGTATACAAAATATTTCTTCAAAAATGCAACTATCTGAAGAAACACATAAGAATGTCTACTCATTAGGCTAGGAGGTCAATTCTGCCTTGTCCATTATTTTATCAAATGACAAACTATTTCAGAGCACTCTCAGCGTGGCTGGTCATGCTGTCAAAGCTGGAAAAATGTATCTTCTTCATAAACATATGTAGAAAACATGATACAGTTTGAAAATGAAAAAGCTAGGCATTACAAAGAAATCTAAGAGAAAGAAAGCTGCCTTGTTTCCTAATGCTTCCAGCTCTTCAGAATACAACCACATAGATCCATCTTATTTTATAAATCTCCTTAAAGATAACATTTTTTGAAATGCTTGAGAACTGCAGGGTTTGGCATGTAAATTTAAAAAATTTTCAAGATAAACATGTAAATAAAGCAGTCTGCCTTTTAATGGAGGCCTGAAGAACAGGAAGCAGGAGGAGGGGCCGGGTGGAGGTGGGGGATGGGGGGTAGTCATCAGGACATTTTCTGCTAAAGCCTTAGAAAACCGAGATCTGCTATTTGTCCTGGTGCAGATGTTCCATGTGAAAACTGATCCACTGCTGAGATTTTAGAAATGAGCTAGGAGGTCTCAGGGCAGGAGGGTGGGCGGGGGGTGAGAGTGTGTGAGGTTTAGTACAATACACAAAAGAATCTGAGAAAGGATAAAATAAATTCAGAATCCTAGTTTATGCTCTCCAGATCCACTGCATGGACATAGCTCTGGCGGCTCCACTGGTTGCATTGGGTCAAAGGTCAAATGAGTAATACGCATGTTGTGCCCAGAGCAACATGCCAGGTACAAATGCTTGACAAAGGTAGCTGTTATCATTTCTATCCAGAACAATCTGTCCTCCTTCAAAACCACTCAGCTCAGGAGAATATCATTAATAGGAGGGTTGTTGCAGAGTAAGTATGATTCCTATTAGTTAACGCAAAGTATTATCTGGTAAAAATGGTCTAGAAGAAAGAGAATTTATCTTTCAGGAGATTTTGGTACAATCTGATGGTTAAAAAATTGAGAAGCAGAATAGATTTTTTAAAATGCTAGGAAACTGGTTTAAATATATATTCACACACAAATTTATACATTGACACATACAGCTCTTTTATACAAACCTTTAGTTTGAAAGGCATAAAGTGATAAATGTTTGTTCACTTTACCTGATAATAAGAAATGATGTGAGATAACAAGATAGAAGCAAAAAGATGCAGGTACAAGAAAAAGATGATGATGAAGATTCTTAGAACAATAAATGAAGCATGAGAGTAGAAGTGAAAGGCAACAAAAATATACTGATCAGGTAGCTGGTTTCTGGATGGAAAGTCTAATTATCAATTATGTCTGTGGTTACTGTTCTGATCTTCAGCTTCAAAACCTCTGAGATCAAGAATGCTTTCAGAAGCTGAAAAAGGGAGAAATTCTGCAATGTGCATTTACTCCAGCCAAGTTTGCTTTTATCATCCTTTTATTTTCAGAGTTCAAAGACCATAATCAATGCTACGAGAGACTTTAGAAACAAAACATGATGCAATTATTTGACAGACAAGCCATAAGTAATGGAAAGAGAATGGCTTTTATTTTTACTGCCATGATTTGCTCAAAGCCAGGCCCAGCCAAAAATTACTATGAATGTCAGCAACTAACACCTAAGCATTCCAGCCCTGGCAGATTCCAACTTGCAGAACTGAAAGTGAATGTTTAGCAATAAACTGGAGTCAACTCATGGCTACACCTAGGCTATTAAAAACTTACTTTTTCTCTATTTTCACTCTTTTGGAAAGCAGATGATAGGTAAGGTCTACAGATATTCAAGGTGACAGCAAACAATGTTAAAAGCTTTTTAACTGTTAATATTTTATTTTGGGGCAACAGGGCAAGGGTTTCTAAAAGACACTGTCTTGTTTCATCTTTCTCAGGCCATGTTGAAAACCATCAGAGATTTTTCTTCACTCTCTCTAGCGTCTGCCTGCAGTACTGTGCATGAGCTCATAAACAGACTAAGCTCACTTTTCTTCTATGTTCAATTTTAATGAATACTGTACAGCCTTTCTTTAAAAATTAAGTTACTTTCCAAAAAATGCCCTAAGTTGTTTGTTTCCCTTGACAAGAGCACTGTATCATATTTGCTTTAGAAATATTTTCAGGTTTCAAAATTTTATCTATCAGTAAGTTTTCAACTTAGGCCTCTGGAAGATTCCTGCCTCCTCTTTCTTTTCCTTTCTTCTCTTATAAATGCAAAAGTTGAGAGAGGATGGGGCCAGGGATTAAGCTCAGTGGTGCCGCACCAGTTTGGCAAGTGCAAGGTCCTGAGTTCTATCCTTGGTATAAAAAAAGACAAAGTGACAGTACGGTGAATCTGGGTCTGAAGTCTTCACCTGGCTTTGGCCCTGTGTAGCATGAATGCATACAATCTAAATGTGATGGGAAGCTAAGGAAAGACATGGGAGGAGAATCATTTGAATCTCATATTTCTGGATCGACAAGGGTGTGTCAAATAGTATATTGGTACTAATTTTCATTAAAATCCTTTAGCTGAATAAAATGTACCTCTTTTTGTGCATATATAATAAATACCATAGTTCATTTTGGACCACAAGCTAAAGTATTATTCACTCAGTATTAAAATAACCGTGATTAAAAAGAAAAACAATTTTTGATTAATTTTTCACATGCTAAAGAGGTATATATCAAGCTGGGCCTAATGGGGTACAGTCCTGTAATCTTAGCACTCTGAAGCTGAGGCAGGAGGATCACAAGTTCAAGCCCAGCCTAGCGAAATGTGTGATTAAGACTCAGTCTATACATAAATAAATAAATAAATAAATAACTTAATTTTGAAATAGGGTTGGGGATATAACAAAAAGAAAGAACTACCACTAATACATTTTAACTTATTATCAGTTTTTAATTTTAATATCAGTTTTCATTCTCTCAGATAACTTAACATTTGCATAGTGCATACACTGTTTGCCTTCCTGGCCTGACCATGCAGTGGAATACAAGCAAGTTAACAAGAGCACACATATGCAAGTAAAAGAACAAGGTATGAGTGGACAGAACACTTTCCCAACCATTAGTAACAAAAGCTACTTTTAGCTCTGAAAGGCAATGTTAAACTATTCAGATTGTATTTCCAAAATAAAAGCAGATGCTGAAAAGAGAAATTGAAGTACAATGTAGGAAGACCAATTATGAAGAATTTTTATAAAGTTTATAGGCTATGTATTTTTGTTACGGCATCTATATCGTTAAGAAAAGTCTCAATACATAAATCTAGCTATAGATTTTTGTTTTGAGAAAGTGATGAACTACAGAAAGCAGCTAAATACCAAACCTGGGAAGCCAAAATTATGAAGGTGTTTTAACAGCATGCATCCAGTAGGTGGCATTGTGGAACTAAAAATTAAAACAAAGCTGAAGCTAATTTATCAGTAGGTAATACAATATGCATGATAATTACGCTGCATTGTATGTAATTCTAATAACATTTAACTGAGCTAATAGCAGCTATTACCATCACAAAATTAAGAAATCTAAACTTTTCTTAAAATTATTAAACCTATGATTAATGGTTTAAAATATTCTAAGTGAAACAATGAAATTAAACATGAACATAAGGCTATTTTATGCACAAATTAAATATGTGCCAGACTTACTGAGATAATAAGCAAGAAAACTGCATTTAAAATGTTTCTAACACTCTGCCACTTTTCCTTGACTACATGTGGGAAAATGGAAACACTGTTGGGCTAGGCAGCTAGAGTACAGTAGGCAACTTAACAGTGGCCTGACAAGCAAAGTGCAAAGTGACAAAACAACACACTGTGATGCTTGCTGAATCCTGGAACGTGGCAGCACACTGTGAAGAAGAAATGATTCTCTAAAGTGAACAGCTACTTTCCCAGTGGAACATCAAATCACCAGTAATGATGCTGACACAGGGGGCAAGGGACAAAATGGCCAAATTCCAGATCTCAGGTGACCCTGAATTAGTGACATCATATCTGAAAGGATCCCGGAGGTCACTGGGTCAAACTGTCCCTGTCTTCCCTTCTCAAATGAACCTCACCAAACACTTCTCTTATATTTTACAAGTAAAGTTTATACAAGTTCACACACACGTGCACACACTTTTTTCACCACCTATTTCTCTCTCTTCTAATATTCATTTACTAAGCTTGAAAAAAAAAGACGTTTTCCATTTTAAATGAACACTTCTCTCTTTTCTCTCCTTTTATTTCCTACATCACAAGTCTCAAGGTAAGTTATCAGTGTCCTGGAACTCTACAGTTGGCTGGCATCAATAATTATTTCCTTTGCTGTATACCTGAAGGAAAGAGCGGGTTTATGGAAGAGAAAAGGGTTTGCCTCTATTGGGACCTAAATCAGATGAGAATATTTAAAGTGAGACTTGCTAAAATGTGATACAGACCTCTGGCTTGATAAAGGATCATATTAAACATCAGATTTTCTTCCCAGTAAATCCTCATAAATATGTATCTCTAGCAGCAATGGTTTCATA